CCCAAAACACCACAGCTCAACAGGTGGAAAGTGAATGATTATTATTAGAAAAAATATCATCATGATCTGGTTTGTGAGAATATAATTTTGGAGTCTCTCAGCTTGGCTGGATCCATATCTCCCAAATCTATGGGCAAATGACCTGTCCCATCACTGTCTAAATGGCCCTCACCTGAAATTCCTTCAATTTCTGCTGCTATGGAACTACCTCGGACATCATTGTCTGCATAACAACCACATAATTTAACGACGTTTTTCATTCCTTTTCTTTCCCCTTCTCTCATTGTGTGTTATACATGACAGCGAAAAATCCAACATTATGTTATGGTAATACGAATTAAAAGTAGCTAGTGTGTTAAATTTTAGATTTAAAAGATTTAAAAATCCACGCATTTACTACATCTACTACTTATATGACGGCTAAATAGAATGGAATTTTTATCTAAAACTGATGGTGAAGATAACGGGTATGTTTGATAAACTTAATTGCTAAGCTAGATTATAGCTTTTAGAAGTCTTTTGAGCTTATAGCTGATATCTCATAACTTATGACACAAAAGTTAGTTTATTTAATAAAAGTGTTTGATAAAATTAACTTATAACCTAGTTGAAAAAAAAAAATCAATGAGCTTCTTTAAAATGCTGCCCACTACAGCTTACGAGATAAGTTTGGGGTTTTTAAAAAAGTTTGTCTTACCAAATTAAACTTATTTGAATACAGAAAACTTATAAATTAATCAAATAATTAGCTAATACTAACTAGTTTACATATTTACCGAACACAAACACAGTTAATATAACCCAAAAATGGTTCTTTCTTTGGATGGAAAACCCATGAATGAATTGATGGTGGTTTAAATATAAGCATTATACTCCGTATAAATAATTTTAATTAATTTAGTTATTTAATTACTAAATTTTACAACATTTACTTAGATGGTATACAGGTATAGTTAGGGCTGCAAACAAGTCGAGCAGCTCACGAGCCACTCGCAAGCGCTCGAGCCAAAGCTCGACTCGAGCTTATATTTTACATTGTCAAGCGGCTCGATATATATTAAATTACCAAAATATTCCATATATATATTTAAATAGTATAACACAAGTAGTTAATGGTAATTTCACTTAAAATTTTTTGAGCAGAACTCGAGCCGAGCTCGATCATTTAATTTCGAGTCGAGCTCGTGAGGCACTGAGGCATAAATCAGAAAATTAATTTATTATAAGTCTTCAAGGTGACGAAATATTTTTTTTAAGCAACACCATATCTCAATTCTCAAATGATAACGACAATTAATATTAATAATAACGACAATTAATATTAATAATAATCCTAATAATAACAAGGCCCTAACCTGGATTAGACAAAACCCAAAGGATGAAAGCGCACAGAAGAAGGATCAAAGGTATCAAATGAACTGCACGCTCTGCAAATTTGGCGCGAGATTTCTCCTTCTTAGCCGCCTCCGACAGCGGCTCGTATGTGGGCAGCTCGTCGGCTCCCTCCGACAGAGATCTCAGCGCCGTCGGGACTTTTGACGACGGCGACGACGTGTAGTAGCTGAAATTGTCGTCGGCGAATCTATTGATGCTGGCTGAACGGTACATATTAATCGGTAATTTTTGTTGAATTGTATTTTTATTTTTTTTTACAAAAGAAAAGAAAATTTTGCTGTGTCTGATGGTAATTAGCTTCGATTCGACTGTGTGTCTATGCGTGTTTACGAGGTCTTAGAAAGCCTAATTTCTCTCGAAGGGTTTGAGGTTTGTGGCCATCTTGAACGCGAATTTATCTGTCTTCCTATAAATAGGATTATTGAAACTAATTTGTTGTGTTTTTTTTTTTTTCTTTTTCTTTCTCTTAATCTGTTTTCCGAAAAATTTACAATTTTCGTGGGTATTACTAATCAACCCATCATAATTACTCTAATTTATATTTGCCTTTCTAAATCAAGAATTGTGGAACTAGGATAATCGAAGACTTATATGATTTATTGGATTNACTAAGCACACTCTTAAATCTTGATTGTATCATGATAGCTGCATCCTTTCCCAAGGTCATTCCTGGAAATAAAATCCAGAAAATCCCTAAAGCTGCTCTCTTTGTACTCGCTCGGGTGGTGTTCATCGACTAGCTCCTTAGCCACCCCAATTTTCACATCCATCCCCAGGCTATGAAGGCTAGCGATCGAGATCCTCTGCTTGCCGCTGTTCAGTATGGCCCTGTGGACCACGCTCTTATACCTCCCGTTGCTTAGTATTTCCAGGTGGTCCCCTACGTTGACTTGGAGGGCTCCCGGAATTACCGGAATGCCCTTCCAAGCCTCGTCCTCGAATCCGAGAATCTCGAGGCCGAACGAGTCCTGGTGGAGGATCGTGAGACAGGTGTAGTCTGAGTGGGGCGGCAAGCCGAGCGAGAGTCGTTCGGGCTCCGGGCATGGCGGGTAGCAGTTGATGGCCATCACTTGCATGCCTTGGTTTAGTTCGGTGCTAAGGTATGAAGAGCCAAGCCCGAGGCTCTCTGTAATGGCCTCCATGATTTTTACGTATAGCTCTTGCATTGCCTTGGCGTAGTCTCCCATTTTCTGCCTGTTCGGTTTTTATCATTCAAAATTATGGGTAAATGAGTTACGATGGTATCTAGTCTTGACGGGTAAATGACAGTTACATGCCAACTAAACCTTTTGAGTAAACTCATGAATGTAATTGTAATAGGAAGTGATGGGATTTTGAGTACCTGTAATCAGATGGGTTGTTGGGCCATAATTTTATCCAGTCGTGCAGAGGATTTGCATAGTGTTTGAGAAAGTTCCTCCGGTATTGGATCGGGTCCAAGCCATCTTTTATGGTCGTGCAGTATCTGACCGGTTCATACACGTTGTTCGACATCAGCCTGGCCTTGTCTTGAGTCGGCAGATTGAAGAAATCGGTGGCGACTGAAAGAGCTTCGTTGAGTATAGGCTCACGTATTCCGTGATTTATGACCTGTCAACGTTTTTCATTTACGTATGAGAAATGAACACGAGGTTTTTGCATGCATATGCAAGGGAGGAAAAGCTTATTAGTTAAGTAATATGGTTACATAGTAGATATGATCATACAATGTAGATGAATTATTAATTATTTGCCTTTTTTATTTTTTAGCTTTATGTGGGGTGAGGGTTTTGTTAGCATGTTATGCAAATCTAATGATTTTCTTTTCTATATAGAACAGCACATATATTATAAATTCGTAGTTATTAGATGTAGATGCAGCATGAATAATTATTGTGTTTTTATGTACTTGAAAGAAACCGTAGAGCCGACAAGCATTTGCAATCTCCTCTACCACAATCGGCCTTCGCGAGGGGTCGCACAGCCCATCCAAGTCAATGAGAGGAACACATGCCATCTCCTTGTGCTTTTGGGCCCTATCTTGAGGTGACACTTTGTAACTCTCAACCATTTCTCCTATGTGAGAAGGACCCGAACTCTGGTCATAACTTGCCATATTTGTAGTATGAATATGTAAAACACCATAAAGGAAACACGAATAATAAACTTCATTGGAATGATATCTATTTATATTTGATTTCTTGACAGTTAAATGCAGAATATTTCGGATATCTAGGTCAAGATTTTCTTCACGACGGTTAAATGCAGGATATCTAGGTACAGATTCATCTGTTACATCAATCTTTGCATACAATGAATTTTACAGGAAAAGGTTTTGAGTTTTTTTTCTCGACATAAATCTTTGGTTTTTTCTGTTGACATAAATCTTCTGCTTGTTATACAAGGAATTTTATATTTAGATTTTGTGGTTTGTAAATAATATTTTGTAGTTTGGAAATAATTTAAAACTCTTCAAGTTGCGTTCTGAGATTTCATCTGACTTCATTTATAATACTTTATATTATTTAAATACGCGCCGCCCATAGTCTTATACAGACAAAAACACACAAAAAAAACTTTATTAGGGGACTGTCAACATAATAACAATGTTATAGAGAACAGTTAGGTTTGTAAATTACTCAATAACATATATATATTATAACTATATATGTTAAATTTTGAGCAGGTTGTTACACAATGTACCGTTGATGAATAGCTTAATCTATGGACAATATTTTACAATATAATATATACAATAATATAGATAGCTTTTCACAAAAAAAAATAAATAGATATTTTTTTAGAATATTATTAAATAGAGTTTTTCAAAAATATGTTCGGCTCATAATTCGATGTATCCTCTTTTCTGAGTTTTAATAACTAAATTATCATTTAGCTATAAAATAGAAAAAATAACAAAAGAAAAAAAAAAGGTCGAACAATGATGTAGCCATCAATCATACAAAGGTCCCAAATTGATATTCTGATATTTCTCTCGGGTGACATACAAACCTTGTGTGCAGTCCACTTTCATTTGTATAATTTTATTTATATTAATGATGTTTCGAGTTTCAATGTTCCTGGTGAGATCCACCTTCAACCTGGGGTCATTCAAGGATTGAGTTCATCGCATCATCCAACATAAATGAAGACTGGAGGAAGAAATAGAAAATTAAAACCATCTATTACAAACGGGAAGACAAATGAATGTTTTCGGTTTTTAATTAAGTTAATATTTTTATTATATTCTTTAACCCAAAATAAATTAATTTATCAAACTTTTTTTTTCGAGACGGTAGATTTATACACATAATTACAATTGGCTAACTAGCCAGAATATGAGGACTATCTAAAGCAGCCTAAATACCACAACACACACACTAAAAAAAGAAAACTAAAAAGCTTTCCACAAGATAATAACACAAATTCTCAACAAGAGAATAACATGCTACTCCAAAAGAGGAGAAAATAAAACACTACCCATAAAACACCCACATGCTAAACTAAAATAAAAAAACACACAAAAACAACAAAAGAATATCAACAACAACTCTTCCAGCAAAGGGAAGTCTAACCAAACGAAAAAGCAACAATGACAAACGACATCCATCCACACGGATGAGGTCGGACCCCCGAAATTCGACCCAGAAATTGCCAGAAAACGCCTAACTAGGTTTGACACCAACGGACACAACTCCAATCAAAACGGACATCCCCCCACTCCCAGAGGCTTCCCCCCGCACCCAAACGCCCGACACCAAGAACCAGAAATCGGAGACAGAACACCGGACAAGGTCCACGATGTTGACCAACCCCTTCATCCAACACCAGAACTGGAGACGACCGTTGTTGAAAGGGGAGAACCCACAACTCCAAAAAGCCACAAAACGGAGAAGCTGAAGTCGCATCCTGCTCTTGAAGAAAAGCCAAAGGACCGCCAAAGCAAAAAGTCCCAGGAATTGGCCGTCCGCCACACCTTTCAAGCGCCAGATTCAAGGCGAAACTAGGACAGGGACGAGCCGCAGCTCCTCTCGGGCGAAGAAGCCCACCTCCAGGCGACGATTCTTTAAGCAGTGATTTAAATATCGTACCGTATCGGCTGGTAATACCAGATACCGGCCATTGATACGGTATAATTACTCACAAAATACCGGATTTACGGTTATACCGGTTTGTACCGAGATCATACCGTAAATACTGGTTAATAAAAAAAATTATAAACTTAAAAAAATAAAATATAAATTGGTAGTTAAATTTTTTTATTTTTATCTCATTGAGAAGTTGAAATTAATGATTATGGTTATTTATTTTTTATTTTTATTTTTTTGCATTTGATATTATATATTTTTATGTATATTTATATGTATCATTATATTTGCTAGTATGATAATACAACCGATATTACTGGTCCGACCAATAATACCGCGTACTGTCTTTAAGAAAACATGATGCGAGGCCCAAGTGCATCACCACCGGACGATCGGAAAGTCCCGTTGGGGAAGGCGCCTAGATTGAGAGCCGAGCGCTTTGACAGAAAAGGATTTTTAGAAAGAGAGATATTTTATTATTAT